TTTTTTGCAATAAAAATTTTGGCGCATCTTTTATCTGTTTTACATTCAGATTGCAATGAGACTCCGGGACAGCACAATTTTAAGGAAAAACCTGTGTAAAAACCGAACTCGTGATAGGTAGCCTTTAGGTTTTGCTGGGCGGGGCAACTGGGGAGGCGTCACAACTGCCACTTGTGAGGACCGCAGCGCCTTCCTGTAAACCGAGTAAAGTGGGACAATCTTAGAGACTGGGGGTCAGACTACTTGTACAAAAAAGGACGCTTGCTCGAGCGCGGGGACTGTCTCTAAGCGACAAACTTATCAGAGAGAATTGGCTCGCGTATTATTTGTACCCCACCACTGCGTGGCGTATCAAATCGTTGGTTACATTGATAACAACACCGATAGGAACTCAGAAAAATCTTCTTCCCACCCTTCTTCACCTTCCCAAGGAATATTAACCATTGAATTCTGATAAAGTATACTCGAAATCCCTGAGATCGGGTAGGCGTGGCTGCGTACTTCAGTTTAAAGTGGCGGGGGCCCAGGTCCTCGGGAGATATTTTCATTGGGATATAAGTAATCATGTCTCCATCCAACAGAACAAGACGGCAGTTCTCTCAAATTGAAGTATCTCACGAGTAACCCGTTACACGCCATGCTGAAAAGCCACGCCTACTCCGTCACAGGGATAAGGAGTGTACTACGTAAGTAATTTTTCAAAGCGTCGTCTCAGTTACCCACGCCATGCTCAGTCAATATTAACGAGATTAGAGTTTAAGGTTCACAAATGTTACCTGCATCTGATGTGAGATAGCTTCCCTATCGGACAACATCTCAGCGAGAGTCCTTGTTCCAAGGATATTCCGCAAGGTGGTCTGCGCTAACAATTTTGTTGAACGTGAAGCGTCTTCAACATTTGTCACCTGAATTCAGTAACTCAGTACCGCATTACTTGTAGCATGTCATGGTAGCTAACGATAGGTGGTGATTATAATTACAGCCAATACTGTTGCAATCATTCGGGGCGTTGTGAAGAGCGATGAAACGAGCCCACCCGCGGCGTCTTCTACCACTGGCTGTTTTCGTCCATGGTTCACAAGGTGGTCACTATTGGTGGAGCAAGGCAGCCGGAGGCGGGCTCATTACGCCCCCCCCCCCCGATACCGCCCCGAATGGTTGCGACGAAATCAACTATGTGTCGTTATGTAAAGAAATAAAAAAGAAAACATGGAGTAAAGTGATCTTGTAAATAACCTAACCGAAATTGTAGCATTGGAAATCCGAAAATAAACGACGGCATCTACAGCGACAGTTACAGAATCCTTTGAAAGAATCTGAAAACAGGATTTGATAGTTACACATACTCCGTCAGAAACGAGTTTTAGTCAAACCATATCTCAACGTTGTCACCTTTATTACACAGGCACCTCCAACCCCTTTAGAAGACTAAGGCTGCGTTCATACTTCGTGGCAGCGTCCACCAGCGACCACTAGCCTTGCGAGCGTCCCACAGCGTCAGCGACTAGGGAAGTATAGGTATCGAGTCAGCGTGTGCCAGCGTCCACCAGTGTCTGCCAGCGTCTACCGGCGTCAACCGGCGTTCACCAGCGACCGGTAGCAGAGGGTATGGGGATGTATGAGGGTAGCAAACGGATTAGCTCGTGAAATTGTGCAACTACACAGCACAACTGCCAAAGCACAG